TTGAATGTAAAAATGGATTCATTAAGCATTGGTAAGTATAGGAAAATTGTTGTTTACTCCAGGAAAATTCATTTTTTGGCCAAAACGAAGAGTTATTATCCCTTAAACTCTGTGGACTAGGGAATCAATCTACAAAACAAAACAAAAAAAAAAAAAAACGCTTTCTGCAAGTGCTGAGAATATCTTCCACCAGGTAATAGTTTATACAATCAACCACCACACAAAAATTCAAAGACTATAAATCTATTGTAAATACCTCTTTCATTTAGAATTCTGAAATATGAAAATGGAAATATTAAATAAATAATGAAAAAATTATTTGGCTTTCTTACTCAATTTTTAATATTTCTTTTAGTATCAGTTGATCACTTTCTAATCTATATAGTAATTATCAGTCTTACAATAAGTTTTCAAATGAAATTACAACATTTTCACATTACTTATTTAAAATAATAGCACAAGTTTGTGCTGCAAGTTTTATTACCTTTTATCCTCTGCTTCCTCATCTGGAGTTATTATTGATGTCCTGTTGGTGTTTGTGAAGTTTACAGGCTCAAGCTCATCATCACCACTACTCTCTTCTGTTTCTTGGCAATCATTCTAAAGAGATGGACATTTATTTTCTCATCTCGTTATTTAACACTCTTCTAAACAATTCTGAATCATGAAAATTAATTAGTCTTTGGCAGAAAAATGTGCTAAATTCAAATGAACTTGAGTGGACTAGGACGTAAGCGTAACAATACATACAAGAAACTTGGATTTTGATTGGCTGTTTTCGATGCGACGGGTCGCTGGACAATGTTGTATTTCAATATAATCGATGACAATGGATTTTCCGCCAGGAGAATTATTTTTTCCCCATCGAAAAGATTGAAGAATTACCATACTTAAATATGACTTCGGAGACCTTTAACCTTGATCAATCTATGGCAGCTTAGGCAGGTGTTATACTCTGCTGTTCCATCATCATATTCCTTGAGCGGGATATTTTTTGGGATTGGCCGAATATAAATTCGACCAGAGGTTACTATCTTCAGGAGATCACACTCACAAAATTCTGATATAAAAACTTCAAGTTTGGTCCTGGAACCCTCACCATTTTTGAGCAGCTCAATGCTGCCGATTCCAGCTAATTTTGAAAATGTGCTGAATAAGATAATAATAAAAATTACTGAATTCCTTAGAACAGAATTGAGGTCCATTGTCACTAATGACAGTAGATGGTATTCCATATCTGGAGAAATGTCATTTTAAATACTTAATAACACTCTTGGAAGAGGTGTCTGTGAGTTTATCACATTCCCAGAATGAATCCAATGTAGTAATCCACAGAAATCAAAAAGTCATGATTCTCCACAGTGAAAAGGTCAAGACCTAATTTTTCATAAAGTGCTTGAGAATCAATGGGAGTAAGAGTTATATATATATATTTACACACAATTATAACTAATAAATAAATAAAAAACAAGAGACATGTAATAACCCCTACTCGTAAGTTTCACGGGCATACCCAGAAGGTATGCCCGATCGTTAGGAGATTTATTTGAAAATAGTTTTTTAGCTGTTTATGTGGATGGCGTGATGACATTTACGTCACGTGCCATGTCAGTTACTTCACCTAGTGTCTTTGTCGGGAAGAATCTATTTCAGTTGGCGTATCTTTGAACACTGAACCTGAACCAAACGTACATGCTCTTTAAATTCGACTAATTCTTTCTGCCACAAGTTAAAATATTCAGCTTTAGATGTCTTAGTTTGGACTATTTTTATTTTCTTTTTTCCATCTTTCATCTGGACCCTTTTCCAAGAGTAGAATACGATTTGGTCTGGTAATTCGTTCAGTTCTATTTCCTTTTTTTGCTTGACGAAATCATCTGGATTAGTGGTAATAGGAATGCGCTCGCTTTTCATGGTTTTCAATTTGAATGCAAAATTTTGATGTTTGGTGCACAAACATGTTTCTCTGCTAAGAAATACAGCTGGAAGTATGTACTTGGGTCGAATTCTTCGGAAAGTTTCAAGGGACAAGGTGGCATCAATATTCTCTGAGCAGTACTTATGATAAAGGTTTTCAGTGTAGTCTGTCAAAATCTGGGTTTGTTTTTTACCATCTTCACACTTTGTAGCATCGTTTTTGCCAGGTTTCATCCTACAATCATCCTCTCTTTCTAAGAATTTAATGACACTGTCTCTGTGCTTTTGAAGGACTCTTCTCCTTGTTTTCTTGGAAAAGTCTACTCCATTTTTTTATAATGGCAGAAATTGTTTTCCTCTTCAAGCTGGATTTTTTGCTAAGGTTTGAAATGCATCTGTATTTAGAGACTAATTTTCATGCAACTGATCCATATAACATATTTCTTTCTTTTCTGTTTTTACACTGAGCGTTTTCTTCCAAGCCTGTTTAGAGAACATTGCTCAGGAGTAGTTGTTTTCTTATTGCATCACCCTTACCTTTCTTCTTCCTTTCAAGTCTTTGAACATCTCTGTATTGTTCGGATTTTCTTACGTAACTTGACATTTTCCTCTCGCAGTGTTTTAATTTCTCTTGATGCCCTTGAATATGCTCTGCTCAATCTTTTTCTTGGTCCATTTCTTCTTGCTGAGGGGACATTAAATGGCATCCGTACCAAAAATGGTTGCCTGGAAGATTCATATCCACTACTTTCAGGATCCAAATCACTTCCTTCTCCGTGGTTATCTGTTCTGCTGTAACTGTTTTTTTTTCTGATGATGATGCTTTCTTACCCTCTCTTTTATGGCCAAATTTCATTTTTTTTTCTAGCAGAAGTGTACAGCTCAGTCACTGGTACATAATTCCTTCTTTGTCGTATTCTTTCTTTTTTCAAATATTTTTCTGAGTCCTGAGCCTTTTTTCTCTGTCTGTAGTTTCTCAGAATCTCTGCCCTTGACAATGGCATTGTCACCACTTGAAAGATACAAAAATAAAAAAGTTAAGTAATTCTACACAAAATATTAAGAAACATTGGTTACTGCAGTGGAAACATATGTTGCTCCAACATTTAGCCTAAATTCAACCTAATTCTTGATATTCAATAATAAAGTGCTTTTTCATAGACAGGCACACAGTACAGTATTCATGCTGTAAAGTTGCTGGCACGATGATCTGGCTTCCTTTCAGCACTACATCTTGATCAACTTTGATCTCATCTCAGAATGGGAAATATTGTCTCAAATCTGGGTCACAGTTCTTTTCACTTTTAGGCCATCCCTCATGAACTGCACTGCATACTTTCTTCAGTATAGGGTCCTTGGCTGTGGCTGCTTTTAGCACTTCCATCCTGTAGTCTGCGACAGGGATTATTGACAGAACTTCCACGTCACTGCTCTCAGCTTTATCCTTGCCTTCATTCAAGTATGCTCTTGACAGTAGAGAGTTTTGGCAAGGCCTTCTGTATGACGTGTAACGTATAGTTCAATACGTAATACGTTTTACGTACGCGAGAAAGCTAGCAGTGGTTTTGGCAGGTCTCACTCCCTATGCGTTTTTTTCCGCCAGGAGCCGCTAGTGCCAAAATGGCTGCGCCCTGGACATCCAAGTGGAAGTTAATTTGTGCACAAATTTTCGACTTTGACGTAGAAACTACGCTCGTTTTCGGTTTTTAATTTTTAAATGGGGTTTTAAATGGGTTGTAGAAGTAAACCTCCTTCAGCAACATCTCGTCTATGTCATCAGTAAAAATTATGGATTTTTTCTTGGCTGACATACTGACTTTCCTGACTTTATTAGCTAGGCTATTATATTATGATTATCTGCAATTCAAAGAAATAAAATGATAAGGGTATAGGCCTATATATCCCAGCAAACAATGGACATCTGACTCTGGTCTGGCATAGAGCTGTGCCAGCTCTGGGAGTGAACTGTTTCTGATCTGGCATCCCCAAGTCCATGGGCTGGCTGTTCCATGAATTCCATGCATGCAGTACACCATTAAGGCCATTGGAAATAACACAAAGAAAATGCGAAGACATTATATACGATAACATAATTTTATTTGAGACAAAAAATGTAAAAAAAAAACTGCAATGCTTGCAGGCTAAAAACAAACTTTGGCTCCTTTCCTCAGGACAAGATTTTGTTAATTATATACAGTTCTACGATGCATCTCCATTATGTTCCTGCGCTGCAGTTTCATTCCATTGTGGAGTTGCCACAGGCGCAGCAGTTGCTCTTGATTTCCTGCCACCATTTCTGTCTTTGGCACCATCTAACCAGTTGGTAACAGCATTTCTATATTCCCTTTCTGTGGCCTGAGGGTAACTTTTTCTAACGGCATCTAAAAGATCAAAATGAGCAATAATTTAGTAAAGTTGCACACAAATCCGTGCCAAAAAGTTGGACTTCCAAGTGATTGAAAATGGTAGTCAAAGTTGCATAGATTTTTAAGACCTCCAAAAGGAAATCAAGAAAGTAATTAAGACGTTTTAAAGCCTTGAAAATGAAAATGACTAATTTCAGACTTTTGACTATGTACTATGTGCCAACCTTTGGAGATCAGAAAACTGGGGCATAAAAAGAAATGTTCTTACCAAACAAAAGTCTACACAGTGCAAGTTGTTGGAATGCTCTCTTCTGTTTATTCCCCTTGCCACTCAGGTTATATCTTTCAGCGACTTGGTTACTGAAGATTTCCTCCAGTTTCCTTCTTGTGTCCTCAACAACTGTCCTCCCATTGAAGGCAACCAGATGTTTCACCTACAGTATACAAAAAAATGAATAGTGCCACTTGATGGGTCATCAAGTCCCAAGTTTGGGGTTGTAAATTTCTGAAATTTGAAAACAACTTCTCTAATTTTATACCAGGAGTGTTACACAAAGCAAATACCATTGTATGAACCAGCTGCATAACTGGATAGATAATGTATTAAATGAACATAGCAATAATGGGATGTCATGATTCCACGTAATTTCTGAAGCTGAATGTGATTTATCTAGTTTATGTAATACTCACAACTTTTAAAGACTTTTAAAGTGTTTTTAAAGAGGTGTTGTCAACAAGACTCCGTTCAAAATCATCCACCGCCTCCAAAGATGTCAGCGGGAATGTATCCCGAGGCAAGCTTTCTGCATTAACATTATCATTGCCATTGGCTGTTCCTCTCTTTACATGCTGAAGAAACAGCTTCTTCGGGTTTTTTTGGTCCGCCTTAACTTCCTCCAATGCAGTAAAGATACGATCTGAAAAAATTTTTAACTTCACATTACAAACACAATCAATGTTTCTTTGGCACTTACTGAGAAACTGATTACCTTGTACCATCATTCATCATAACATGGCAAGTATGTATTAAAACCAATCCCAATGAGGCACCCATGGAACTAACTTTACAAAGCGGTGCTGCAATCGATGCGCACAAAGTTTTTTTCTAACGCTATTTTGATTTATTTCTGGTGTGAATATAACCCATTTCGGTAAATTTTACATCATCTTTAACATCAATCACCTGTAGCAGATGAAGCATTACCATTTGTTCAACAAAATGAAATGGTATCAATGCCTGTCACTCCCAATTGGTTTGCTAGACTTTGCCATGGTCTAAATGGTCGGAGAATGCTGACAGTTTAAAAATCTTTTTGCAAACAATACAAATTTAAAACTACTTACTCAACATTGGTTCCAGGACTGCATAGGGAACAACAGGACCATTGCTGGAAAGCCTGGCAGTGGAATTTGAGGGGAGAGAACATGAGCTCACTGAAAATAAGACACCGTTGAGTACAACATTGAATAAGGGAATCATTTAACTGGAAGGGTCAACACTGTGCTATGAAACTAGTTTTGAGTCGGTGTTGAATGAAGAAACGTAAATTCACCAAGGGTGCAGTACTGGATGTAAATGTTTGGACATTTTTGCACTTTTGATCATCTGATAAAGAGCAGTGATACACTTACTGTTCAAGAAAGAAAACAACATACCATTTGAATCATGACTCTCACCAGAACTTGTTCTTTGTCCTTGGCCTGTCATGCCTGAAGATTTCCGAACATTTGGTTGGGAAGTGGGTGAGAACACTGAAAGGGAAATCAAGATTGTATTACCGGTGTGCCCAATAAGTGCACATGATTGTCCATTTTTCTGTGCGTGTCTAATTTACGATAAATTTTGTTGATTTAAACTGACCCCACGTTGACAGATCAGGGCCAGATCTGTGCCAGGCCTGCCACAACAGGAGACAAAAATTAAAAAAAATATATATTGATCAGTGCAGCACAATCATTTTAACTACGCATTCTTTGATAATATGAGAAAAAGACACACACTATACTATTTTAAAATTACTGAATAAATATATGGTGCCTGCTGCATGTATGGTGCCTTCGACCAGATCTGGCACAGATCTGGCAGCACCTGACCAGATCTGGCTGGTCCAGCCTGGGCGAAAACAGATCTGGGCCAGATGACCATTTTTAGCTGGGATATGAATTGCACGAACATGGGGCTGCTTGTGGGATTCTTTTTAGATAGATGAATAATTAAGATGTTGAATGTAATGTGTTATTTACGTCAATTGATGCTGCAGATCCTGTTGTTTATGAAAAAAAAAATCAACCTAAATTGAATTTGATACTACTACGGACGACTGATTGACTGGCTGTTTTTCCAGCTGTTTTCACAGAGTATTTCTACCGACAGTGTCTAAAAGTGATTCAGTGGAATCTTGACACCCTATATATTCCTCTGCAGTATGTTAAACTTGAAAGAAATAAATGTAAATCTATTAAATTCGATACGTTTCTTACCTACGTGTAATCACTGATTCATACGTAGTGCTGTATGACTTATGACTTGTCCTTGAGAAAAACTACGCACAAAGTGATGACGTCGCACGTTATACATCGTATGGAAGGCCTTGCCAAAACTCTCTATTGTATCAGCAACCAACAAATCTTTCCCTTTCTTGTATACCAGTCTGATGCGGTATGGTTGCAGCTGTAGTAGCATTCGTTGCAGTCTTACTGGTGCACTTGCTAGTGGCTTTTTCCATATGGAGATCAGTGGTTGGTGGTCAGTTTCAATGGTTATGCCCTTGCCGTATATATAATCTCGGAATTTTGCGCATGCAAAAACTACTGCGAGAAGTTCCTTCTCAATTTGGGCATAGCGTTTCTCTGCATCTGGCATTGCTCTGGATGCATATGCCACTGGTTTCCCATTCTGTAGACATGCAGCTCCTAAGCCTGCTTGTGAAGCATCACAGGTCAGTGTGACTTCCTTGGAAGCATCATAGTATGCTAAACAGGAATCCTGACTTATCTCCTGCTCAATTGCTTCTAAGGCTGTGTCATGTGCATGGTTCCAAACAAAGGAGTTATCGTTGCGTAGAAGTTCATTAAGTGGTGCGCACTTCTCACTAAGCTGTGGAATGAACTTGGACAGGTATTTGGCCATACCTAGAAAATGTAACAACTCTGTCTTGTCTCTGGGTTTGGGCATCTCCTGGATTGCTCTGACCTTCATCATTATAAAAGTATACTCAACACCATATTTTAGAATAGTACAGGGAAAACTTAACCAATGCATCATACATGAATTTGTAATAGTAAATTTAATAAGTGCAGAGGCAAGATGTCAAAAGATCAGTACATTCCATATTTTGTGATTTCTGGGATATAAACATTACTACTACACTGAACTTCAAGTCACAAATGTATTATAATGTTGCATAAAACTCTCAACAACTTTAAAACATTAACATGCATAAATGTTATTGAAGTTAAAAACTAAAAGTTATCAGACTTTGTAAATGACTGTCTTTACTGACACCAAAGTTATCAGTCAGTAATATTCAACAAAACACAATCACAAAGTGTAAAAAATGAAGTAAAATAAGCCATCTATGCACAAGACATTTCCCGTGTAGGTAAACAAACGTAAACAAAAAATGCATACAGCCATTGCAATCTTGCAAGAACATCTACCGCAATCACTATACAAACATTACTGTTGCTTGCTATGCCTGTAGTAACACACCCCTCCAAAATCTATCTGAGATTTTTAACAACGCAAAGTAATGCAAATTTCAAGTAACACAAACTGAAAACACATGATAGCACTTCTAACAAAAATTAAAAAATTAGTTAAAATCTACAATTTTACACAATGCAATGTGTTACTCACTATGATTCTAATACACAGTAACCTTGCAAAGAGTGCATTACCTGCACAATTGAAACATCAAATTAAATGTAATATCTAAAAGTTATTTATTTCCAATGTAAACTTCACTGTCTTTCTAGATGCAACACCAACTTGTGAATAGGGTATAACAGTATCACTAAGCACAGATTTACTTGATATCCACACAGGCAATATCATTGATGTTGCCCGAGGCTTGTCAGAGGCACAACATATGGAAATGGCAGATACAGGTTGATCCCCTTGGCCTCGCTTTTGGTCTAAATGTAATGGGGAGGGATGAGATCCCTTGCATTTAGAGCATGTGGCACGTCTCCTACACTCTTTCGAGATGTGACCTCTTCTTAAACATACAAACCAAAGTTTATTGTCTCTAACAAATTTCTTCTTTTCTTCCATGCTCTTGGCATCAAACTGTGAACATTTGTGGATAGAATGTAAACCATCACAAAAATGCATGGAGGGTACTGCTCTGAGGAATTCACCGTTCCGAGATGAGCGGATAAGCTCCGCCCCCTTAGATACTGTTGCTAGGTGTAACAAGCAATAGTCAAAATGGCCACCGAGCAGACAAACATCGTGTCAGATTCCTTAGAGAACATACCAGAAAATATCGCAGTTAATTTCCTTCCGAATAGTGAATCTGTGTCATAAAAGGCTCTTCAAAAAGGACTGAACTATTTTACGCAAGGTTATATTCACAATGTGAAGATTTCTGAGGGNAGCAATGGACATCACTGAATTACCTACCTTGAAATCTCGGCGTACTGACTTATGCAAAAAATTATTTAATGAGATAAAACTGTGTACACATAGATTAAACCATCTTTTACCTAACACTCGTGTCATAGAAAAAGACCTAAGGAATGTTTATAGATATGTTTTACCAAAATGTCGGACAAAAAGATATAGGGAAAACTTAACCAATGCATCATACATGAATTTGTAATAGTAAATTTAATAAGTGCAGAGGCAAGATGTCAAAAGATCAGTACATTCCATATTTTGTGATTTCTAGGATATAAACATTACTACTACACTGAACTTCAAGTCACAAATGTATTATAATGTTGCATAAAACTCTCAACAACTTTAAAACATTAACATGCATAAATGTTATTGAAGTTAAAAACTAAAAGTTATCAGACTTTGTAAATGACTGTCTTTACTGACACCAAAGTTATCAGTCAGTAATATTCAACAAAACACAATCACAAAGTGTAAAAAATGAAGTAAAATAAGCCATCTATGCGCAAGACATTTCCCGTGTAGGTAAACAAACGTAAACAAAAAATGCATACAGCCATTGCAATCTTGCAAGAACATCTACTGCAATCACTATACAAACATTACTGTTGCTTGCTATGCCTGTAGTAACACACCCCTCCAAAATCTATCTGAGATTTTTAACAACGCAAACTAATGCAAATTTCAAGTAACACAAACTGAAAACACATGATAGCACTTCTAACAAAAATTAAAGAATTAGTTAAAATCTACAATTTTACACAATGCAATGTGTTACTCACTATGATTCTAATACACAGTAACCTTGCAAAGAGTGCATTACCTGCACAATTGAAACATCAAATTAAATGTAATATCTAAAAGTTATTTATTTCCAGTGTAAACTTCACTGTCTTTCTAGAAGCAACACCAACTTGTGAATAGGGTATTTCAGTATCACTAAGCACAGATTTACTTGATATCCACACAGGCAATATCATTGATGTTGCCCGAGGCTTGTCAGAGGCACAACATATGGAAATGGCAGATACAGGTTGATCCCCTTGGCCTCGCTTTTGGTCTAAATGTAGTGGGGAGGGATGAGATCCCTTGCATTTAGAGCATGTGGCATGTCTCCTACACTCTTTCGAGATGTGACCTCTTCTTAAACATCCAAAACAAAGTTTATTGTCTCTAACAAATTTCTTCTTTTCTTCCATGCTCTTGGCATCAAACTGTGAACATTTGTGGATAGAATGTAAACCATCACAAAAATGCATGGAGGGTACTGCTCTGAGGAATTGTTTGAGCTTGTAGTGAATGAGTTACTTAATTTCTCAGCAGGCTTGCTGTTCTTAGGATCTTGTAGGTTACCAAAGATGGGGTGATTAAGAATCCTTGCTTGTTCTTCTACGAACTAACAATGTCACTGAATTTTACCACCCATTCAAGCGTTTCTGAGATGTAGTCTGCTTGGGTTCTCCTCATTTTTTCCACAAGTCGCTAGGGGGCTTATTTATCAATAATTTCAACGTTTCAGGATTTTCTATGCAATGGGAATACCCAATCTCCTTTAACGTATTCTGACAAGAGGTCAGCGACACGGAGAACCTTCTCAGGGCTGCTGAGTCCTCAAACTTGACGACAGGAATGTTGTTGAGTTTATCTACCGTCTAGCTATTAAAAAACAAAACTGCTGGTACGTGTTTGATCGATAACTGATTTAATTCTCGTAAGATTACCATCCGCCCCCTTTCTTATGAATAGGTATTACTTTATTAATACAATGCAACCGACGTGTAGCGCGTTAGAAGACATTGTGTGATTACGCACAGCAGTATGAGGCCGCTACCCCTTCCCAGCAAGGAGTCAACTAAGCCGCAAGTTTGAAGACAATGCGTGATTACTCACAGCAGTAGGAGGCCGCTACCGCTCCCCAGCAAGGAGTCAACACAGCAGCGCGTAACCCGGGCTTAATTAGGGGTTATTGGCTGTCCACTTATGATCGGTATTGTTCGTCTTGATTGCAGCACACTTCCTACTCACTATTGGTTCGCCCGCCTCTTCTTTAAACGCTCTCTCAAATCTTTCCTCAGTCAGCCGAGAATGGAAACACATTTATCTGCCGATAAACTACGTCGTTGATGTATTATTCGGCATCATTCTACAGTGGGTCATAAGGCTCTATCTATGATTTTTTTCGTATCACATTTTACCTGATTAAGCTGACGCTAGAAAACAAAATTTAATGAATAATTTTCTCACGTGCATGTATCCAGTTAATTTTACGACAATAACTACCACGGCACCTCCGCCATTTGCAATTGTAGACGAACCACGTGTTTCCAGCTGATAGGCCAATACAACTATACCAGACCCATTGCACGAGAAAAGACCGTTTATATTTAATGAATTAAAAACATTTGAGGATCGCAATTTTCTATTGATATACTATCGATGGTATCCCTGTATTAATGCTGTAGCAATTTTAAAATCCTGACCATACCTTTTCTTCAAAAGTTTGCGAGCCTCTAGGTAACCATCTTCAGAATTCATGGCACTACAACTCTTCATCAACTCCTGCACTTCACCTCTTGTA